TTGAATTTTGCTGTTTTACGCCGAGTCTGCAATATTTCAGTCATATTTTGGTTTGGTGCAATTATTGAAATTGAAAAACAAAAAAGAGAAACGGGATATTTTGTTTGGACTACAAACTCATATTGAACAACATATCCTGGGGGAAATTTATACGCTAGACTTAAAATATAAATTATTTGATTGCTTGTATAAAAGTCAACATAATTTTGTTCAAAGTATGTCATGAAATGTTTCAAAACTGACATACATGTACTACAGGTTTAAGTTTTCTTGCTCTTCGTGAATTAAAGTTTACATTTACTTTATTTTGACTAATCAGTATCCTTGAACAAATTTCATTCAATTAGAATTAAATGACGTTGGCTTTAATGTACATGTATATAAGAGCAAAATGCATATGGCTTTAACTGCACCAAAATTGCAATAGAATCAGAACTCTTTGGAATGTTTAGTGTACAGTGCATAGAGGGGCAACGTGTCACATGTATTAGCGTGTTTTTCTTTAATACCAGCCAATAAACGTATTTTCATTGACCTAGTTATTTGAATTTGAAATTTAGCACAAGATATATAGGTGAACAATCTGCAATAGGTGGTTTTTCGTTCTTATCAGTGGAATTTTTAGTCATCTGAGTAAAGGTATATCATAAGTACCAGTCCACATTAAAATCAAAAAGAATATGAGGGTTCTCAGAATTTGATGATTTTCCAATCATAGATTTGGTTTGAACTCTAAAACAATGTATGAAAAGTGAAGAATGTTTTCAGTCATGGTTACCAAGAAAACCGGGCCAAAGAAAATTCCAGAGCAACCGGCAGAATTTCCCGTATTGATGGACAAAAAATCACCTATTGTAGAGGCTTAAGATAACCGATTTAGCATTAGTGGTTGAAAAGCGGCAAGGGTTGCTACAGAGCAGTCATTTCAACTTTGGTTAGAATAATGATACGAAAAATTATTATTAAAAATATTTTATACCTAATTATTACTGGCACAAACACTATATTAGAACTTTAATCAAATACTATATTGTGTAAGATTGGCTACTGGATAAAACACCAATCACAAATGTATCCATGGTATCATCATCATTAAAACATTGTTTCATGTATTTGATTTTCTTCACTTTACCGCTGTAGTACTCAGCTACAATGAGGTTATCCCTTGTGTCTACACATAAAATCGGACGCTGTAGATCACAGTTTTCAATGAAACGGAGGAACTGTCCATCCTGATCTAGGATGTGGATACAGTGGTTGTCACTGTCTGCTGTCAGGATCTGACTTTGGCTGTCTGTTGTGATGCCCCATGGACCAAATGATCCCTTGTCAGTAGAAGGATGACCAGTGTACCTAAATCGGAGTTTTCCCTCCTGATTAACCACCACTAATGTTTTGGCACCACTGTCAGCCACACAGATATCCAGGTTCCTGTTCTCACTGATGTATTTAAGGAGGTGAGATGAATACAGAGGTTTACCTTCACTATCAAACTGAATGGTTTGTTTCTCTGTGAAGCCTGAGTAACGGACGATTTTTGATTGTTTATCATTATCACTGTCCATGATAATCAGGAGGTGACCAGAGGAGGTAATACAGACATTGTAAGGTCTCCACCCCTGTAGCCTGACCACTTCCTGTAGCTGGTCAATCTTCAATATGTTTACAGTTCTTAAACCAGGGTCAGTATAAACTAGCTGTCCACTCCTTGTCACTGCTATGTCATATGGCATGTTCCCAGACTTGGTTTGGATTGACTTAAGTAGTTTGCCCTGGAGGTTGTAGAGTTTCATTATTTTGTCATACCCACATGTCCAGATTTCTTCATTATTGAGACAGCTAACACTGTATAGCGGTGTATACCCAGTGTCAAAGGTGTTGATGATCTCCGGTTCATCAAGCAGATGTTTGACTGGAGGACAGGATACAGCTTCTGGTGTTTTCATTGTGTAGCCATGTTCTTCTGTTGAAATAGATAATGCTGATAGAGAACCAAACATTTGATGGAGCTGTTCTGTGTTGATCTGATGAGGCGAAAAACTTGGTAACGAAACATTGAGTTTAGCAGGTAATCGTCTAAATTCTGTATTCATGGATTTGTACACGGAGATTATGGAGACATCATTTGAGTCCAGTATTTTCTTCAAGTCAAGAATACTCTGTTTGACATCAGAAGTAATCTGTTTGATTTCATTTTCATGTTTATTAAGAGCAGCCAGGTGTTTAGTTTTCATCTCTTCAATTTCAGATTTCTGTTTGTTGACAGTGACGTTAATTTCTCTGTGCCAGTATTCTCCTTGTTTGGTAACAGCTGTTGTCAGCTTCTTGTAATGTCTTTCCACGTTGACTTTTTTAGAGTTTATTTCTGTTGCAATTTCTTCATAAGTTGGGTGTATTATTTTTTCTAGTTCTTTCAAATCCTTGTTTAAAATTTCTCTACTGAAGTTTGGTTTCTGTAATATATCTGTTAATGTATGCCCATGATGTTTATCAGAGGATATACAGGTAGAACAGACACAAATATCACATTTCTCACAGTAAAGTTCACAATGTTTCTGGGTGTGGTTTGGACATTTTGGGTAGTTAACGTTAGGAGTAGAAGTTCTGTGTTTGTATGGAACAACATTGTGTCTTATAGATGAATCAGAGAGATGCTCCCCTACGCAGGCCTTACATAAGTTAATCTGACAAAGTTCACAATGACTCTGTAATGCAGCTCTCTGACACAGGTCACAAAGGAGGAGTACTTGAGCTCTATCCAGGGGATCCATTACAAGGGTTTTGGTCAATGGACCTGTAGTTAAAAGAAAAAAAGGAGTCTTAGATCACATGATTTAAGTATCATTTTGGGTAGTAAGGGGTTGGAGTTCTGTGTTTGTATGGTACAACATTGTGTCTTCTGGTTGAATCAGAGAAATTTTTTCCAACAAGGACTTTAATATAGGGTTATTGAACTTATATTGGTGAATATTGGCACGAGTTGGCTGTACAAATGCACGAGCTTGCCTTTACCCGCTTTTCTCAAGGCTATTTTTTGGCGTCTAATGTTCTGTTTGACGGGGAAAATTTCCTGTCCCTGACACTTTAGTCCTTGTCATGGTCTTTGAGATACCTATCTATACTGCACTTCATTGATTGTAGGGAGCCAGGCTCGTATTCATTCCCATCTTTCTTGAGAATGATGTCAATGTAAAAATTTCACAATAAAACGTCCAATTTCTTAGGTGGGATGTCTTCAATTAGACGAAAATCTCCGTTCCCGTACAGACACTCGGTATAAACTTTCAGGTCTCTTCTGGTTGTTTTCACCGTGTTATCTTTCTTCTGTACGTCAATAAGTAATTGAATTTTTTTGTCCTTTGAGTTCTCAACTGATTTTAAGTCAAAATCAATTACATCCGCCTATTTCTTGCTCCGATAAAATTTCTCGATACGTAATGCAAACTCAACTTTCAATAAAACGTCAAGATATTGAACGCTAAAATCCTTCAATAAAATCCTCTAATAAAATACTAACAAAAATCTAGAGAATGTTAGTGTTCAATATCTTGACGTTTTATTAAACGCTGAGTTTGCATTACGTAATCGAGTATGTCCCGAAACATTCCGAATGCTAGCGTTCAATAACAAACGCACCGCCTCGGTGTAAACAATAAAAATGGTTAATGGTAGTCTGGTTGACGACCCGGATACAAAAACCGTTGAAGGAATGTTTGAAATTTTATCGGAGCAAGAAGTAGCGCATTTGACTGATTTCGACTTAAAATCTGTATAGAACTCAAAGGACAAAATTCAATAATTTATTGACGTACAGAAGAAAGATAACACGGTGAAAGTAACCAGAAGAGACCTGGAAGTTTTTACCGAGTGTCTGTACGGGAACGGAGAATTTCTTCTAATTGAAGACATCCCACCTAAGAAATTGGACGTTTTATTGTGATTTTTTTATATTTAAATTCGTAAGAAAGTTGAGAATGAATACGAGCCTGGCTCCCTACAATCGATGAAATGCAGTGTAGATAGGTATCTCAAAGACCATGACAAGGACTACAGTGTCAGAGACAAGGAATTTTCCCCGTCAAACAGAACATTAGACGCCAAAAAATAGCCTTGAGAAAAGCGGGTAAAGGCAAGCTCCTGCATCGGAATCTCAACTTCAGTTTGATCCGCGGGTAGAAAATTACGCGGATTTCTTAAACTGTCACTATATGCCTTACATTTATATTAAGTCCGCTCGGACAAATTTCCGGGGAAAATTTATGACTACGTACATAGCGTAAATTAATACCAAAAAGTGGAAAAAAGTACTTCTACAACATGATAATTTCTTTTTGGCATAGATATGTGATATCTTAAATTTTACATGATTCAAATATTCAGGTTCAGATGTTTGTTTAATAGTTGATATCTGTGATATTTATCATCGTTTTCTTGTTACATTTGTTGAATATGTTGGATTTCTTGTTATCTTACAAATTATTATTTGATAAAATTTAACAACTATGATGTAGTTTTTCTTGTTTTATTCTGGGTATTTTGGAAAATTTTTCTTTTCACAAAAAACTGATTTTATTGACAATTTTTGTGAAGCCTGAAACGATTTTTTTAAATGGCTTAGTAAGAAAATCAATGCAAGACAGGAAGACCAGGATGACATAAAAGTGAACACTTGTTAACACAGATGCTGATATTGAACACTTGAACTGTAAAAACTAGAATTAGACAAATCTAATTAAATCTGATTTATTTTATTTAAAAAATTAATATTATCTAATTAGAAGATGTTTTAGCTATATAATAAAGGAGTTATTGAACTTATATTGGTGAATATTGGCACAAGTTGGCTGTTTAAAATGCCATGTAAACTTTCCTTATGCTCGAAAAACATTCAGGAAGAAAATGTTAACACTTAAAACAGTCAAAACAATTTATGTAGTCAGTATGATCTAAAGTGGCCCTTTCATGCATTTCAGCTAAAATACTTTTAATGCTAGACTTGAGATCATTAATGACATCTGAAAAAGTCTTATAACGTGTTAAATCGTAAATATAATCTTGTCTCACCTCAACATCCAACAAAACTACCTCGAGAATCCAGTACATTTCTATTTACTTCCTTGTCTTATTGTAAATGTTTATCTGTTTACCAGGTCTTGTGATTTAAATACCTATGTCACCGACCTAAAGAAGATAAAAAGAGATCAAAATTAGGGACTGTGATTTGCTGTAATAACATGTATGAGAGGTGATCAAAAAGTTTGCGAACTAATTATAACTGAATTCCAACAATGACGCTGCAAAACATTCGATTGTTTCTTACACTTTGAACTTGCAAACCAATAAAATATTTTAATCAGAATGCATTATTTTTTTCCTTTTAAAAATGTATATTCCTTGGGATTATTTAAACTTAAAACATATTCTTGTATCATATTTTGACTGAATTGTTTCATACTGAAGGTAAGGCTTTAATTTGTTCCATACGAGATTTAAAAAAGAAATGTATCCTTAACCCCTTCACTTCCGTACCGGTCAAATTGACCGGTGGCGCGTTAAAACACGACTTCGCGAAAATAAGATCGCCGTATCTATTTTGTGGTAGCATGAAGGTATATAAGCTATATATCATCTTTTTGGAAATTTTCTCTGCTTTTAAAATATCTAAAAAGATTATATCTTGATTGCCGGTATTTAATCGATTTTACGTTGTAAAGACAAACGAGACTTTTTGAAAATGGCGTAATTTTCCAAAGCGATTGCCGATTTTCCAGACGATTGACAATTTTTTTCCTGATTAACTTTATAAGAAAGCATGGTATATTCTTAAAGCATATTTTCTCTACTTTTAAGATATGTAAAAATTATTGTTATTACTTTAAGGTATATTTTAAAAACAAGAATTTTCTTGCACTTATGTGTTTTTTCTCTCGATTTTATTCGTAATATTTAAACAAAGCTCAGTTTTACGTTTATTTCTGTGTTGAAATAGGGAAAACAAAATAAAGCTGGTAAAAGTAGAGGAAATTTCCTTTCCAACAAGCCCTTATAGGCCTTCTTATGCTCAGTATTTTCTTAATTACGATAATTTGAATTTGAGACCTTCGCATAGTTTTTATGGAAAAATCGGTCAATATTTACATGTAACGTCAAGGTCGATATTGTTGCGTCTTACTCGAAACAGCAAATTCTTTTATAAGACTTTTTTGACCATTTAAATATATTTTTACTGAAATAAATGCATAATACAAAAAAAAAATAGATTTCAAAAAACAAATTATACTTTCGTTCTGCCTTTTGTGTTCAGTGAATGTTGATTTATTCATCTACATGTAGGCCCTAATGATGTATTTTTCATGAAGTGATAATTATACAATATTGATAAAAATTGTAGATTTCCAAAACGTCGATCTTTACTAAAAAAAATCAATCAGATTTTTAATATTGTTGTATTGTTGTATCTTGTTATAATTTAATTAGATCTATATTTAACAATACAAAAACTCGTATTTATAAATAGATACGACTCATCACTGTATGAGTTGATCAATACGAATTGAAATAAACACGTGTTTCCGCTGTGATAGCTGTAAACAAAAACATGATGATCCGAAATCTGAACGTCAACTTTCATGATTATTTCACGACGAAGATCCTCACATCAATGAATCAAATAATACGGACATGCCTTTGGTATTAGCAGGTGAGAATACGTGTATATTGACTGAAAAGTTTAAGTTTAAAACGCATTAGTTCACGTTCAAAAGGAAACTAAATATACACATGTACTAGATCTTTATGTTTCAGTGTGCGTGTTTCGTATCGTTCAGCCAATTTTGCATTGTTTTTTTTAACTTTGATGCTTTTGACAATCACTCAAAGTAAAATCAAAGTTGTCATAATAATGGATAGTTGTTTTCAGTATCTATGTACCAGTGCAGTGTGTACATGTACAACTTTCACATTGAAATTTTAGGGTGCTTTCACCATATGCAACAATACTTTCATCTGTGAATACCCACTTTCTAAGCCCACCATGAACTACGAAGGTCAATTAATATGTAAGGACACCAATGAACAGGTAAATTTTTGTTTTGGTATTGAAAATTTCTGTATTTCTAAAATTTCAAAAATTAAAGTCTCATGATATCGCATTTATACAAGTTTATAAACATTTGATTTTATATTTTGAAAAATAAGTGTTTTAAACACATAATACTTATGATGCTTGATTATTCATACAGACACATTATCTAAACATGTAATATCTATCTGAATGAATGCCGAGATATGGAACAAGCTGTTTTTATAGACTGCTGTTGTATTTCCAATCTGCATAAAGTATGTGGTTAGCATTTCCATTTTCTCAATTTTTCAGACACTTTCCAATTATGGTACATCATATACATGGGTGGTCAAACTCACTGGATAGTTTATCAACACTCCCATGCTCACGAACAGCCTTGCCCCAGGAATTTTGCCTTGAAGTAACATTGCAGTTTATTGTCTCCTTTCTTTTTACAACCCTGGCAGTCATGCAGGTATGAAATCTATGAAAGCCATGAAGGGACATAGAATTTTTTAAAATTTATAAAAGTAAACCGAGTTCTTGATTTATACAATCCGTTCTCTCGGATTGACAATCTGTTATAACAAATTGCCAATTCATTCTCACAGATTATCAATTCGTTCCTTCAAATTACACAATCCGTTATCTCAGATTGTATAATTCATTCTCTTAGTTTAAATGATTCATTCCCTCGGAATGTAAACCCTTCCCATGATTTCGTTTAAATTATTTATCTGTACATATCGGATATGGTAATACATGTTTAAAAAATAGAATATTGTAGTATTTTACATCCTAACTTTTATTACATATTACGGTCCAAAATGAGAAAAATACATGAACATTTTCAAATCCATGTGCTAGTACTGATATTTGTACGTACAACAAAAAAACTTAGAGGTTTTTGTGTTACTTGTATATTAGAATAATTGAAAGTCCTAGATAGTAAAAGTGAATATGGGTCCTGTGTAATCATAATAGCGAGCGCAGCGAGCGTCGCGAAGCGACGCTCGCGAAGCGAGCTCAATAGACTAACGTGTAAGAACAGAGGAAATTCGGATTGAAATCTGTACATACGTCAGCCAAATTTCTCTGTGCAACATTCCCAGAATTCCTGCACTACCCAATGTCCTTTGCGCAAATAAATCAAAAATAGTTAAAAAAAATAAAGGAACATTGTTTCTTACCGAAATCTTAACGAAATGATTTTGCCTTGCCTTATTCAAAAAAATACCCCCATGCCACAACACCGGCTTTCACCTTGCCCTTCGGAAATGATATAAATGACGTCACCGGAAACTTACGAATTTTGACGAAGTCATGTCGGTTGCTTCCGTGAAATAGATAAATAAATAAACAATAACGTAAAGCATAAAAAGCTTTCAGTTTGTAGAAATCTTTCAAAGAAACAAGAAATAACTCTGCAATGTTTTTCGACCAAAATTGTGCTAGGTCTATAGTTTAAACCAGACGCTCGGCCGTTTCCGTAAGCTCCGACGAGCTCCGTGACGTCGTGTGACGTCACAGCTAGTCGAGACGTCTCGTGCGACTTGATGTTTGAAGTGGCTGATCAATTTTTCAAGTGTTTTGATGGTACAACTGCGCTCGCCTCAACGGTCACACCGTAAAACATATTATTTCTAAAATAAATATACGTTGAATTAGTTATGAAAGAGGTTGGAAACGACCGGTTGCTGAAACAAATTAAATAGAACGCACTTATTGATTAAAATGGTTGGATGTATCTGTACATATATGTAATGAAATTCAAGAGCACAGATTTCTAAAATCATAAGACTGATGTTGTAACAAATCGAGATGTTGAATTATCAATCTGTGAAAACAAATTACCGGTATGTAATTCGAGATCTGAAATTATGAATCAAGGGGGCGAATTAGTAATCCTTAAGATCGGATTGTGTAATTCGTAAATTTACGTGTCCCTTCCTGGCTTTCATAGCAATCTAATGCCAGATTTTTTTTTACATGTTGCGATAGCGTAAACAGAGGTCTGGCTTTAGTCAGATTGCCATATATGCTATTTGTTTTAGTTCAGTAATTTTACCATGATGGTTTACTACAAGGTTATTGAATTATCAGTCCTGATACATTGACTTAACAATATCATTTAACTACTTGGATCACATAATAAATACAATTTTAATTTTAAAAGGAAAATCAAATAAATGTAGTAATTTTAGCATTCTTAATTTTATTTATAAATATAAATTTATATACATAATGACATGTATCTGTTTCAAAATACTTAAATCTTTTACAGGATAGAAGCTGATTACTTGTACTTGACAGCAATTAATAATGTCTTGGACAAGTCAAAGAATTTACTCCAGTCTTACAGAGAAATGACAGTTGATAAAAGAATGGTGGACACAAAGTAAAAGTGCTCTTCAACATTTTGTTGAAGATTTCAGTCTGATTTGGAATTCATCTTGCAATATTTCTGGATTTGTATATTTGGATATAAGCGTCAAATTTTCAACTTATTGACTAAACAGTTTTGCGTTAAATACTGCCAATGCTATCTATTATTATTATTATTTCCCTCCAAGATAACATGTCAAGTCTTTATTGTATCCCTTAAGCTCTGCTATACCAGAAAAATCTTGTAATGAAATCATTTAGTTTTTTTTTCTTGTTTGATTAAATCCATGAAAATAAAGATTATTTTTAATGGCATCAAGAGAATGGATTTCTTGTTTAACAAAAAGATAGTATACATGTTTTGCTAGGGCTTTGTAAGAAGCAGACCAGGATTCTTTGCTTGCAAATTTTGTCGTTCGCCATTTTTATTACGTCAACTATTAGATGATTTATCCATGTTTGAAGCATTTCAAAATTGATATTTACTTACAGTTTAAAGCAGAATTCTGTACTGATATGACCTTGACCCCCTGAAGAACAAGAGTGTCAAGGTCAATTTTTAATACAAAAATGTTCTTTTATCTTTATGGCCCATATCTTACAAACAATATGATGAAATATACAAAAAGTGTCTAGAATGTGTCCAGAATGTGAAATAACACATGTATATAGCCAAAAACTTTAAAATGATGTTGCTTAGCAACCACTTAAAGGTCATTAAACAGATATTTGAACTAAAATGATGCATGGATATTGCAGTTCTAATCCCTTCTTGAGAGTATATTCAGAATTTTCCATTTCAGCATCCATTGCGTAAAATTATGGCAAGAATATTGAAAAGTGTTGAAAAAAATTGATGAAACTTTTGCACTTATTTGACCTTTGACCTCCTAAAAATAGTTCTAATGAGGTCAAACTTTAAGGCAATTTATCTGTTGTATGTCCCTTGTAATTTTATGACCTCACATCTAACTTTTATATCTGCTGGGATGCATAAATGTGTCTAGGATGAGTAAAAAATGAAAATTTCTGCCCGAAAATTAAAGAATTCTGCGTTGCTTAGCAACCCCTTTTAAGTAGTTATATGCAGAATTGAAAAAAAAGTTTATGTGTTTCATGTAGTACAGTATAATGCTCTTTTGTGGGTATATCCCAAATTTCCTATTTCAACATGCATCATACTTAATATTTAGCTTAAAGATGAAAAAGTATCAAAAAATCCCATAAAATTTTGCACTTAATTGACCTTTGACCTCAATTTTTACTAATAAGGTCAGTGGCTGAGTATCTAAACAGTCATAAAATATCATCTGTAAGAAAATTCCTACAAAATGGTATGCATTATGCCTAGTTTTCCCCTTGGATAAAAAAGTTAGAAATAATTTAATAATGCCATGTCAAAAGGCCTCCAAAATCACGTAAAATGCGCCGGAAGAGAAAGGGTTAAAGAATCCATATGACTGACGGCGAGTGTGACCGATCAACAAGGGATGCTTCTTCCTCCTATGCACCTGATTAACCCTGATATTTCCAGGGTCATGTTTTATGCTGTCATAAGATATTTTATTGTCTATAGTTTTTTTTTTAGATTGATCACCGTTTTTTTTTTCCCTTCAGATTGCATATACGAATGTTCAAAGAACCATTATATTACGTTATAGATTGTGATTGTTACTGTAACATGTAGTCGTCGAATAGTCTACGTGAAGGATAGTTCGTGTATTGAGCTTAATCGGAATGAAATATGATCATTCGAGTATCTTGCGTACAATAATAACGTAGCAGTTACAAATGTACTTAAGAGATGAATTTAATTTTTAAGAATTCATGAGGACATGAATTACGACGCTTCACGTCTGTATAAGCGGTAACAATTCATAATTAATATTCAGGTGAAAAGCGTTGTATCCCATGTACCTCATATGAAGAACTAAATTCGTAGCCTGTATTTACATTATCTTTTCTTATGAAAAATGCCACAAATATTTTGTCATTAGACAATCATTTTTGGAAAGAAAAACATTTTGCACTATTTTTATAGCCCCTTGATCGAAGATTTGGGGGGTGCCCTGTCCGTTTTTCCGTTGCCTTTCTGTCTGTTTGTCCGCAAAAACGTTAACCTAGCGTATCTCTTTTGATTGGGTCAGGCTATTACTTGCACACTTCACTGTATTTCTTGTGACAAGATCTCTTTGGGTACCATCAACTTTTGTCTCTTTGACTTTGGAGTTTCACCCACTTTAACAAAAGTACCAAACTTTAACCTACGCATAAAATTTTGAATAATTGGTGCCAGGCATCTCATTCTTCCTATATGTATTCATCTTGGAAAGGTCTTTCAAGGGGTTTAAATATTTTTGAACTTGACCTTTGAGATTAACCTACTTATAATTTTTTTCTACTTTGGCCATAGATTTTGAACAGGTAATCCAAGGACTTTCATATTTATTTTACTTGTGTATTTCTGACATGACCTTCCTTTGGAACTAACAATTGTGACTTAGCGCGCCTCACGCCAGCAGAGCATTTGCTATTCATAACGCCTTGTTCACTGAAAAACGTTGCTTATTTCCTAAACAGATATGTATGCTTTCAATTGTATTATATAAAGGAAAACATTTTACATGTAAATTTTATACAAAAATGTATATATATATATATATATATATATATATATATATATATATATATATATCAATAATGTACCTTTCCAGAACTATTTGTATAAATGTGGAAATTCCCCGTCTACATCATTTTCAGTTCAATGTAGAAAAACTAAATCCCAATGCTTGCCTTAAAAATATCATATCATTAATATTTAGGGGGCAACATTGATTATGTTAGCCTCCATTAAGGGACGACATTTTGCCCCACACGGGGGCTTACATAATCATTTTCCCCAAAAAACACAGTTAATACCTGTGTAGTTATATGATATTAAGTACAAAATTAAGTTTTTTTATGAATAAGCATGAAAAAACAAGACGTTGATAAAATGGTCGGTTTACTTTTAAAAAAAGTTTATTTTATCCTAACTATAATTTCTGTAGTTTATCGGAATTACAGATGAAGTTTTGAGGACGGGGTTTAGTGTTCATGATGGTGTGCTCCAACACATATATCAGATACTGATCATCGATGTTGTTAAAAAAGAAAACTCAAGTTAAAAAATTCCAGTTTTTTTCAATTACTACTATTTTCAGGTAGTCCTCGATGATTCTCGAGGACACAGATAATAGATTTGATGTGTTCTTGCAATTCCTATTATCCAAAAATTGGAAAGCGATGGGACATTAAATCTCATTCGAAATTGTCTTTCCGTCTGTTCGTCTGTCAGTCTGTTCGTCTGTCAATCTGTCAATTCGTCTCAAAACGTTTACCTTGTCCATATTTTTTGATTCAGTTGAGCTATGACTTTCATATTTCACATGTGTTTTTCTTGTGACAAGACCTTTCTTTGGGTACCACCAAGTTAGACCTTTTGACCTTGGAGTTTGACCCACTTTCACACAAAAAATTCAATTTTGTTCGTTGGCCATTACTTTTGAACAGTAGACACTAGGGCTTTCATATTTCACATATGTATTTTTTGTGGCGATACCTTTCATTGGATACCAGCAATTATGACCTTATGACTTTGACATCGGAGATTTCCGTACTTAAGAAAAGAACTTTAACCTTGGTCATAACTTTTCAATGGTTAGGGCATATGCAATTCTTATAAGAAGACCTTTCATTGAATACCAAGAACTTTGACCCTATGATTTTGACTTTGCAGTTTGATCTATTTTTCAAAAATCCAATCAAGACCTTAATTTTGAAGAGTTAAGACTAGGTCTTTCATACTTCATATATTTAAACCCTGTGACAAGACCTTTCATCTGATTTCAAGAACTTTGACCCTTTGACCTTGACCTTGGAGTTTGACCTGTTGTTTTACCTTTGCCATTACTTTTAAACCATAGATAAAAAGACTTTCATATTCCATATATGTCTTTTTTGTGGCAATTGGATACCAACAACTTTGACCTTTTGACTTTGACTTTGGAGATTTCTGTACTGAAGAAACTTTAACCTTGGCCATAACTTTTGAAGGGTGAGGGCTAGGGCTTTCATACTTCGTTTATGTAATTCCTATGGGAAGACCTTAAATTAGATACCAAATACTTTGACCCTTTGACCTTGATCCTAGAGTTTGACCTACTTTTTAAAAATCAAATCTAGAACTTAGTTTTGAAGGGTAAAGGCTAGGGCTTTCATCCTTCACATAGGGTATACATGTGACAAGACCTTAAGAAACCATTAACTTTGACCCTTTGACCTTGGAGTTTGACCTACCTTTCAAAAATTTATCCATAACTTTTGAGCAGGCGGTGCTAGGGCTTTCATAATTCACAATCGTATTTCTTGTGAGAAGACCCTATTTTGCTTACCAATATATTTTAATTGCATAGGAGAAAAGTATAATCTTCGCCATGTCCCCATGCGGGAGTATCCTTATAACTGTTGATTGAGGAGAGATAGGACTTTAATATTATTTGACATGTGCATTTTCTGTGACAAGATATTTCAGAGTATGCTATGATTTCTTACCCCTTGACCTTGACCTTCTTGATTGATCTTATATTTTGAAAAATCAATTTTGGTGATAATTTCTAATTGACATATGATAAAGCGTTCATATTTGACACAATATGTCATAAAAAAACGACATCTCACCCATAAAGACACCGAAAGCGGGGGATCAAAATTCTTTGAATTTGCTTGTTATATCTTTTGTATATTTGAAATAAACGATGAACCTATTAAATGTGACGTCACCTTGTTTTGGGGAGTCACAATGGTTTAATTATGTCTCATTTTATAAATCTTCCAACAAATGAATTTAACAGAAAAAGTGAGGACATTCTCCTTGCATTATTCCTAACTGGTCAATAGCAAAAGATATTGACGGTCAATATTTTTCGGGTGGTCTAATTTTTCAAATATCGATGGTACGTCTATATAGAGTTATATAGTGATAATATCTTACCAAATATAACAAATTTTTATGTGTTCTCCTTAACTTAAAAGAAAAAAAAATACATACACTTATTTATTTTTAACACATGGATAATTCTTTAAATGTTTTTGTATATAAGCATGCAGCTACATTATAACATATATATTTTTTTTAATTTCAAGGGCAAAAGCAATTGTATTTCTGTCGCAAAAATTTCATTTACAAATTGTTTGTAAATATTTGATTTTTTTCACTTTACCACTTAACAATTCAACCACAAAAAGGTTGTCTCTAGTGTCTACACATAAACCTAACGGATGATTAAGATGACAGTTCTCAATGTAACGGAGGAACTGTCCATCTTGGTCTAGTATATGGATATAAAAGTTGATGCCGTCTGATGTCAAGATCTGACTCTGACTGTCTGTCGTGATGCCCAGAGGCTCAAATAGTTTTGTAGTAGAAGAAGGATTACCAGTGTATCTAAATCGGAGTTTTCCTGCCTGATTAACCACCACAAGTGCTTTGGCTCCATTATCAGCTACACAGATATCTAGGTTCCTGTTCTCACTCATGTATTTAAGGCAATCATATGAATATAAAGGAACTCCTTCACTATCAAACTGAATGATTGTTTTCTCTGTAGAGCCAGAGTAACGAACGACTCTTGATTGTTCTGTTTTATCATTGTCCATGGTGACAAGAATATCACCATTTGCGCTGAAGCAGACATTGAAGGGCTTCCACCTCTCCAGTCTGATCAATTCCTGCATCTGACTATTTTTCACTATGTTTACAGTTCTTGAATTAGTGTCAGTATAAACAAGCTCCCCATCCTTTGTCACTGCTAAGTCACGTGGTTTGTTTCCAGACCTCGTTTGGATTGACTTCAGGAGTTCACCCTGCAAATTGAAAAGTTTCATGATATTAACATTCCCTCGCGTCCAGATTTCTTCATCACTTAAACAAGCAACACTGATTTGTATATACCCCGTCTCTATGGTAGTTATGAGTTCTGGTTCATCGAGCAGATTTTTGACTGGAGGACGGGATGCATATTCTCGTATCTTCTTAAGGTAGAAGTAGCCATGTTCCTCTCTTGAAATTGAAAATGTCGACAAAGAACCAAACATTTGATGGATCTTTTCTATGTTGATGTTTGGAAAGGAGGACTCTGGAAGCGAAACATTAATTTTAGGAGGTAAAATTCTGAATTCATCGTTCCTTGATTTGTAGGCAGAGGTTAAGGAGACATCACAGGATTCTAGTATTTTCTTAAGGTTAAGAATGCTCTTATCAAGTTCAGATAACTTCTGTTTTATTTCTTTTTCCTGTTGATTTAGAGCAATCATGAGTTTAGTTTTGGTATCATCAATTTCAGATTTCTGTTTATTGACAATGATGTCAATTTCCCTGTGCAAGACCTCTCCTTGTTTAGTGACAGCTGCTGTCAGTTTTTCGGAATGTTTTTCTAAGTTTACTTTATTAGCCTTGATGTCAGATGCAATTTCTTCATAAATGAAATATATGTTATTTTCTAGTTCATTCAAATCTCTTTTTATATCTTCTGTTTTAGAACTTACTTCCCATATGATATCTGATATGTTATGCTGGTGATGTTTGCCAGAAGATATGCAGGTATAACAGGCAGGAATGTCACATTCATAACAGTAAAAGTTACAATGCCTCTGGGAATGATGTGGACATTTTGGGTAGTTAGTAGCAGGAGATTTATCTTTGTATGGTATTATAATGTGTTGTCGGGAAGAATCAGAAAGGTGTTCCATAACACAGGCCTCACACATGCTAATTTTACAAAGCTCACAATGACTCTGTAATGCAGCTCTTTCACACAGATTACACAGAAGGAGTACTTGAGCTTTGTCGAGAGGATCCATTTCTAGTAGAATAAGAAAGAAAAAAATCTTTGATATTGATGCGCAATTATTAATTAAAGAATAGAAGTTTTTGTAAAATTTTTATGCTTTTGTATGTTTTGAAAGATGGTATAACATTAAAAATCATTAAACATTTACATGTTTCAAAAAGTTTTACGTTTATCCTCTGCTGATGGTAATTGGAAAACTAGATATAAAAATTTGTCTTACCAGTGGATTCAAAGTGGATCCTACATGTATTTGCTCTCTGTGTTCAGACAACTTATATTCTGTGTAGAGTTGCTGTAAGATCAAGTGATTTAAATACCTGTAAAAAGTAAGTCTGAGGTGACAAAAATTTGGACTTTTTTCCTGTTGATATGAATGGTTTCACTGAAGATACTTTAATTTTTTAAAGAGATACGTGTATTGTACATGTTCAATCATTTTTCAATACTTTCCGAGTTTTACTACTTATTGTCATGTAAATCTTTGATTTATTCCGTAAATGATGCAAAAACTTTCATAAGAATCTGAATTGTGCTATATATTCAATCTCCATGCAAGAATATTGGCAGTTAATCAAATAGTCTCAGACTTGTCTGTGGTTTTTGAATGAATGTAGAATATGTTTTAACGCTGATTCAACAATATTTCAGCCATATTTCGGCGGAGAATTTTGAGGTGTAATATTTGAAATTTACACGACTACTTTCTCTGTTTTCTTGAGTTCTGTTTTACTGTGTCTGGAAGTAGAGTTCCAAGGGAAAACAAGAAGTTTCTTACTTAACGTTTTCGACAGAGACAAAACATTTTCAAAAAGTCGATAGATCATACAGTAGACACAATACTAGTTTAAAATATTTTTATACATCTAAGAATATATTATGATATTACTTTACCAAATATCAAACTTTATTTACTTTAATGTCAAATTCTTATCTTATCCTTAGATTTGATTTTAGTGGAAAAGGTACCTGGCGGTTCAGAAGGCAAGCAACTAGTGTAGCATTATAATACTGCCAAATATCGGGGTTTAGTTGTTTATTTCATACTAAATGCTTATGCTCTAATACGAGTATATACATTACAGAGTAATGATGTAAAAATCAAAATATTCAGAGCCTGATCTTGAATCTTTAGTGGATTTGGCTTCCGGCTAAGATTTTGTATTTATAAATGATTAATCATATTTGTGGGATCACAGTTCATGATTAGATTTATGAACTCAGCTCAATCTCAATTTCTACTGAAGACAATGATCCAGTATTTAAAAAATTTTCTCTGTTTTCTTGAGTTCTGTTTTACTGTGTCTGGAAGTAGAGTTCCAAGGGAAAACAAGAAGTTTCTTACTTAACGTTTTCGACAGAGACAAAACATTTTCAAAAAGTCGATAGATCATACAGTAGACACAATACTAGTTTAAAATATTTTTATACATCTAAGAATATATTATGATATCACTTTACCAAATATCAAACTTTATTTACTTTAATGTCAAATTCTTATCTTATCCTTAGATTTGATTTTAGTGGAAAAGGTACCTGGCGGTTCAGAAGGCAAGCAACTAGTGTAGCATTATAATACTGCCAAAGTATCGGGGTTTAGTTGTTTATTTCATACTAAATGCTTATGCTCTAATACGAGTATATACATTACAGAGTAATGATGTAAAAATCAAAATATTCAGAGCCTGATCTTGAATCTTTAGTGGATTTGGCTTCCGGCTAAGATTTTGTATTTATAAATGATTAATCATATTTGTGGGATCACAGTTCATGATTAGATTTATGAACTCAGCTCAATCTCAATTTCTACTGAAGACAATGATCCAGTATTTAAAAAATTACCTAATCATAATCGGTGGGAAAGTGAAAAAAAAAAAAACAGCAGTTGCATAAAATTACTTAGAAATAAAACAATGTATAGGCTTAGTGCATATGAAAATAAAATGTTTACCTGTAAATTCTGTGAACATTTGTTGCAATAATATAGGAAGAAATAAAGACGTTAAGAGCAGATCTATATCCTGAGATGTGCTTTGATAAGAGACTATTTCATTTTTCCTGTTATTCTTGAAATTGTGTATATAAACTTTATTTCTATTTCTAGAAAAAGAAAAGGAATATATACAAGCAATAAAATATAATTTTTATTGTTTCAATGGGACATGGCCTAAAGTACATGTAAGTATATGCTCAAATATACAAATTAGCCCTTTGCGTCTTAAATTATTTAAGGCCCTTTCACAATTGGCGCACGAGCACTTTACAACACTTTGCGATCGGAAAATTTAAGCTTCGCACGAGCTCCCTCCGAGCTCTCGCATACGTTGCACGATGTTTCGCATTCGTTGCATGCGTTTTAGTGGTCACATCAAGTCTCCTCAAAATAGTCGACATGCACAATATTCAGACGCGACCAAATGCGATCCACATTTATCGCAATTCAACGCACGGTTAGTATTATACGAGCGTCTTACAACGTTTTGTGTACTGTCAAGTGTGATGCACGATTTTTAAAGGTCGTAAGATGAATTGCAGCTGTATATGCGTGTGTTGTGGAACATGAGACTGTTGCTCAACGTGTCTCATGTAATCTTGCAACGTTTTACTATGCATTATTTATCAACTTCAATTTCCCATGCTTTGCCTCTAGTATATATAAACCCTGTATTAGCATCTCTGTTTCAGACCACAATTGACAATGGATGCTGCTTCACCAATACCTTTTCGCCGTCTGCTTGGTATACTGAATCTCCGAATACAACTCCAAGTACTCCAGCAAAGACATATGGTAGTGCAGGCGTTACTTGTTCGTCGTCGACAAAGACATGAAAGACATGCCGGTAGAAGACGTTGGTGGATCAGGCAATGGATTGAGAGGCGCATGTTATTCTGCCAGTATGAAACATTGATGATTGAGATAGAGAGACAATGCCAGGGGGACTTTTAGAACTACATGAGAATGCCACCAGTCATGTTTTACGAGCTATTGCAGCACATTACTCCAAGAATCGAGAAATACAGACGGCCACTAGAACCTGGGCTAAAGCTGGCTATTACAATCAGGTATATAGTGACAGGAAACAGCTACAAGAACCTCCAGTATTCCTTCCGTGTTGCCCACAACACCATGTCATTGTTCATACCAGAGGTGTGCCAGGCCATCATTGACGAGTATGAAGACGAAGTGTTCGCCTTTCCATTTAACCCAGATGAGTGGCGAGTAGTGGCACAGAAATAAGGTGAAAGATGGAATTTCTACCACACATGCGGAGCCCTGGACGTAAAACATGTTACCATAAGAAACCCACGTCGGTCTGGTACCCTCTACCACAACTGCAGCATCATCTTCTTGGCCTTAGTCGACGCCGATTACAAGTTTATCTGGGCCGACGTTGGTGCGCAAGGCTCCTCATCAGATCCCCAGATCTTCAACCATGACCCACTGAGAAATGGACTGGAAAATGACATTCTTTGCCTGCCAGACCCAGAGCCCCTGACACATGATGACAGACCCATCCCGGACTTTTTGATAGAAGACGACGCATTTCTCCTCAGGTTTTGGATAATGAAGCCCTACTCCAATTGCAACATAACTAACGAAGAAACTATCGTCTGTCCAGGGCTCGGGGTTGAGAACACCTTTGGCATCCTTGCAAACCGCTGGAGATGCATGCTGGCCACGATGCAACAGGATCCAGACCGGGTCAAAATCATCGTCATTGCTACAATATGCCTGCACAACTTAATGAGACTCCGCTATCCTGGCTTGCAGAATAACGACCTGGATCAGGAAGATGAAGCTGGAAACCACATGTCTGGTCTGTGTGGTTTGTTGCAGGGGCTGCAGTGCGAAGTGCTCCTGCTGCTCATTCTCTGCGCTGTTCTGGTACTTGCTGACGAGGGCCAACGCCTCTTTCGTGAAGTCCCCTCAGAGATGTAGAGGAAGGGGTTGAAGGGCTTGCAACATCCAGTTCACCCAGGCCTGCCTCTCGTCGCTGCTGTGGCTCATTGGTGCGTCGACCTCTGCTGTCAGGTCAACCGTCTGCCTGTTAGTCTTCTCCAGCAGGTCAATGATTGTTGTATCCAAGTCCTTCTTCTTTCTCTGCCTCTTCCTGATGGGAACCTGTGTAACCGAGGAGGAGGGCTCACTATCCTCGTCCTCTTCATCAGCTGGTACTTGTCCGAGCTGGGATCCCTGTGGCCGGTGTGTCACATTTAATGTCCAAACTGTGTATCATAGAATTTTAACCATGTAATTAGTATTTTGAATTCCAAACGTTTGTCCATAGTCCTATGTATAGAAGGTTTTAACTCACTGGTCGGGTTAGGTATTTAAATAGCTCGTGCTGGTCAGTTTGGGCGTAGCAGGCACCAGAGAAGGACACGTTGTTCCTTTGCCAGTTACCTTCAAGTCTTTCAATTGTTATTTAACTTCAATTCATACTAGAAATCCTACTCACTTCTGATGTAAGAGTATTTCAGTTTAATGTTTATTCTAAGTAACAGTATATCTGCAAAATCTGCCAAGTTACTTCGCCGCAGTACATTTTTGGTAAAGTTGTTTCAAGTAAACATATTGTTGAATTGTGTGTATAATGTACTTATATTCAGTAGTAATAATGCGTCGTAAGCATTGTAGTATGGAAGTAGTAATACTGTACTCGAAGTATGTTCAAAGTAGTAACAATGCGTCAGTAGCATTGTACATGTAATACGTGTTTGTTGAGTAGTAAGTTGAATGCTAGCAATACATATTCTTCGTATAAGCAAAATGGCCATGTCTATGTTGAGTACAAAGTATGAGTAAAATATTTGTAGGAAGATATGCATATTTAGTATTGTATATTAAATAAGAAAGTATATGTACATCATTTAACAATCAACTACAATATGTTTTTGATAAATATTCCATAGATCCTAGTACTAGTAGTAGTAGACATAAGAAGTGGATACAGTTGGGATTAAGAACCAGACTAGGCTTTCTAGTACTCGCCACATGTGAGTCCTGGA